TAGAAACGTTGCGTCATGGGGGTCATGTGACTCGCTGACGCAACACTATGTATATATAAGTTAGTTTAAACAGAAAAAAAAAGCTGTTAACTTGGACCAGCTATCAAACATACACAGTGAAATTAAGATAAACTTTGCAATAAAATTTCTTAACTTTAGCAAGCCTAATTATGTTCGTAAATCTTATTTAGTTTTTCAGTACTGGTGATGTGGATTATTCTGGAAAACAATTTCATTTAAGCATTTATCGAATGTTCTTAACGTCTGCTTCGAAAGGGTTTCGATATCCTGATATATTAAATACTCTGTGTAACCGGGTTTTAAAGACTCAAAATGTGAACAAAACACTTTAGGTATAACCTCGTTATTTGATACGTGAGCGTCTAAGAACAAAGTTTCAAGTTGTTATTCTGTTGATTTTCAACAGAAAACTTTATATTGAGACGTTTAACATTTCAAAGCCGATCCAACACTGTTAAATACCACAGAAGTGTCATCAATACCTTCTGCATTACAAGGCTTAACACGTGTCATCAATACCTTCTGCATTACAAGGCTTAATACGTGTCATCAATACCTTCTGCATTACAAGGCTTAATACGTTCGATCAGGACTCTAACCAAACTTTTTCATGAAAGCACAAGAAAATATTAGCCCATAGCCACTCCATCAGTCTGTTCATATATTGTTAAACATAAAATGTGATTGCTTCGTCAACAAGCGTAAACGTATTTTTAAAACATCTTTAAAACCTTGTACAAGTTAATTCTCGGCAAGCACAACGTTAGAACAAAGATCAACGCTAGGAGCGTATTTGTAAGCAATGACTCGACACCATAACTAGCACAATGGACGTTATCATAGAATGTGTCTGTTTTAAGTATTGTCAAATTCAAAAGTATGCTTAAAAGAATATTCATTTCGTACGAACTATTTCAAAAATAATTTTAAAAATATTGTTAATAGTTCATGACAGGTGCCTACACTAGGAATAATTAGTTGGTTGAACTGGACAACACTGGTTTGAACGTTAGAGGATCCATATAAAACCCAACCAGTGAATCGTTGGTCTTCTCTTGTTACTGTAGGATCACTCCTACTTTCTATTAACCTATCCGTATTACGTAGAATAACTTCCGCTTGGTTGAGGTAATCCTCTTTATTTAAAACAACAATCCCATTAACTTTATCTGGTTTACTCATGACAATGTCCTTACGATTCTATAAGGATTTCAAAGCCTGGGTTTTGTTCTTTGCTGAAATTACTTGTTCTTTTTGTTAAGTCTAAAATCTTATAACATTCTTAGGGCACAACAAGTGGCATGAGTATTAACCTGTTCAAAAGTTTTGCACCCAATTTTAAAAATTTAACACTTAGACAACTGTTGTAAAAATGTGTCAAAACTTAGACAACTGTTGTAAAAATGTGTCAATACTTAGACAACTGTTGTAAAAATGTGTCAATACTTAGACAACTGTTGTAAAAATGTGTCAAAACTTAGACAACTGTTGTAAAAATGTGTCAAAACTTAGACAACTGTTGTAAAAATGTGTCAAAACTTAGACAACTGTTGTAAAAATGTGTCAAAACTTAGACAACTGTTGTAAAAATGTGTCAAAACTTAAAAAAATTATACTATTCGGTGACTTTCTCAGGGGAATAAAAACAAATTATATCCATCTGACCAAAACACTCTTTTCATCATCAATCAAATGGTAGTCTGATAAATAACACAGGCCTAGATTACCTAACGACAGTCTAAATTAAACTAAGAAAAATAAGAAAAATTACAAAACTGATGGAAACAAAACAATGAAGTATAATTTGTATAATAATGTAGTAGAAAAGTATAATCAAAGTATTTAAAATAATGTTATAGAACTTTGTTGTGACAAAAAAAAACACAGAAAGCGTAATCAAAGTGTTTAAATAATGTTCTATAATATTTGTTGTGACAACAAACCACAGAAAGCGTAATCAAGTTGTTTAAATAATGTTCTATAATCTTTGTTGTGACAACAAACCACAGAAAGCGTAATCAAATTGTTTAAATAATGTTCTATAATCTTTGTTGTGACAACAAACCACAGAAAGCGTAATCAAATTGTTTAAATAATGTCTTTGTTGTGACAATGCATTATCAGTGTTTAATTTTTGTGCAAGAATTGTGTGAAAAGTAGGGGTTTTGTGTACCTTCACTTAGGAATAGGAAAAGAGGCAGCGAAAGACCTAGCAAGAAGACACGCCAGTGTAGTCCTCGCTTGTAGAAATCAAGAGAGGGCTAAAATGGCTGCCGAGGACATTGTTAATTCAACTGGAAACAAGAAGATTGAAGCAATGGAATTGGATTTAAGTTCACAAAAGTCAGTAAGAGAATTTGTTGAAGAGTTTAAAAGAACCCATGACCGCCTTGACATACTGATAAACAACGCAGGTGTTTTTGGTAAGAATTTTGTCTCGCATGCAAGTTGCAAGTCTTATTCTAAGCCTTTACCTTTATTGATTTGTTTTTCATGAAATACATGTCCTCCGTGTCTCTTACATTGTTAAGCATATTTTTAAGACTTGCGTAAAGTGTGGCAAGCATGTTGTTAAGGAGAATCACACGTCCTCTCTCATTTTGCCACCAGTTAGATTAGATTAACATGCCAGTTTGCATGGTATTTTAAAATACGCTTTACTCCCAAAGTAATTCTATATTTATATAGGAACTTCAAGAAATGTAGAATTGATGTAACTAATTTATTCTTGTAAATTATTCAACTAGACAAACTGTATAAGTAAAACAATATTTCAAAACACCATAATAGAACATACGCTTCATCGCTATATGATGCTAAGTCGTATTCTTTCGATAGCTGCTTCTGTTGCTCCGGTGCATACCACCAATACCATTACCCCTCCGGACAACTCTATTACTATGTCTCCTACCACGGAGGATATCATCCGTTTCATCACATTAATACTACAGAATGTCCTCCGCTTCCAATTTCCGTTAGTTCTGGATCATATTATCCATGCTGCTAAGACTGTCTTTCGCCTTCACATGCAGACCACTTATTCTGGACTTAACTCTCACTTCCTATTTCGTCATCTATGGGATCCGGCAGAGACAACAAGTTGAAGTTTTTATTTGTCAATATTCGCTCTCTTCTTCATAACCTCCCCCTCCTGGAGATCTTGCTAGATGGCGACTCCTATGATTGTGTTATCCTTAATGAAACTTTTCTGAAACCCACTCAAAGGATCCATCTGTCAGAGTACACTCTTCATCGCCATGGTCATCCTATGGGTCGGGCCCGAGGAGGTGTGGCGATCGCTACACGTACTCTCCTTCCCGTGCGCTTGCATTCCCTTCCACAGTCCACTTATACTGAACATTTGGTAGCCACTGTTTACTTCCCATCTCGTATCATCACTATTGCAACTATCTACATTCGTCCTGGAGTTCCCTTGCCCAATGCCTTTCTCTCCTTTCTGGACCACTCGTTTCGCAGCTATGTTCTTCTCGCTGATGTCAACTACCACAGTAGGACCTCTGCCGAACTTGTCCGTTTTCAGTCCTCTTTATGTTCTTTTCTGGTTCTTTGCTACCCCTGCCTGCCCCTAGTCGTCCAATTTCTCATTCGTCACCTGATATTGTCTTTGTTTCTTCCAACCTAGTTCCTTTTATCACTCTCCAAATGTGTCCTCCGGTGGGTAGTGATCATCTCCCCATAGAACTTTGTGTCTGTTTGCAGTCCTTGTCTGTTCCTCATGCTTCCTGTCGGACTCATCTAAATTTTCGTTCTGCCGACTGGAAATCTTATGCTTCACACATTGCTAATTCCATACCAGATATTGATCGACCTCTTACTACAACAGCCGATGTTGACTCCTTCGCCACCTTAGTCATCACTATTCTCTCTGATGCCAGTGCTTTACACATACCGACTTCTTCTTCAGCTCCCCATAAATCACTCTTCCACTATATTGCATGAATACCGTCGGTTTCATGATCCCTTGTTGCTGCAACGATCCCGGGGTCTACAACGTACTGCCCGTAATTTTGTTTAGGCAGTCCGACGTCAGTGGTAGCATCAGGCCTGTAATAAACTCGGTCATTCCTCTTCTTTCTCGCAATTCTGGAACCGTTTTAAGCTCCTCACAGGTCAACGATGCTCTCCCTCCTATTCTCTACTTGTTGATGGTGCTGCACCTTCTACATCTTTGGACAAGGCCAATCGATTTTTTGATTTTCATGAACAGAACTTTCAAGTACCGGAACGTCATATTCTTGATTACAGTGGCACTACAACCACTGTTAACACAACCGTTGCCTCCCTCGTGGA